AACCAAGATGCCCCTCCAGTATTATGTCATTCAAACATAGAGAAATTTTTGAAATACTTGTTCTTCAACACCCTACACATAAGCTTATCAGGAAATTTAATGAGTCTCCACAACTGTTTAAGAATCAAGGCTCTATTAAAGAGTTTAAGGTCCATAAACCCCAAGCCACCATCATCCTTAGAACAAGTCATTCTATCCCAAGAGAGCCAGTGTAAGCTTTGCTTCTGAGAGTCCCCCTTATTCCACCAGAACATAGTCATTATTATGCACACTTCTTTGCACAACCCAACAGATAAGATAAATCATGACATAACAAACACTGGTAAAGCGCAAAGGACAGATTTCACCAATACCTTTTTGCCTGCAGTAGAGAGAAAACCATTTTTCCAGCTGTAAATTTTATCTCTCACCGCGTCCACAATAAACTGAAAGGTTTCCTACTTAGAAGCACCTATACCCAAGGGTAATCCGAGGTACCTAGAAGATCTCTTTACCACCACTCCTCTCAGAATAAGGGAAATCCTGCTCTTCAACCCCTCAGATCCATTCTTGCTCACAAACATAGATGATTTGTGAAGATTGAATTTTTGCCATGTGAACTCCTTATATTTCTGCAGCATATCAAGAAGCAATTCTGCATGGTTTTCATCTGCCTTACACAATATAAGAACATCATCAGCGAACAATAAGTGAGATAACATAGGTCCCTCCTTAGAAATCTTAATTCCCCTGAACAAACCAGCCTCAATCTTATGCTTCACCATGGGAGAAAAAACCTTAGAAATCAAGATAAAAATATATGGAGACAGGTGGTCACCCTATCTAGTCCCTCTAGAAGATACATAGACACACATTCTTCTATTCAGGTTAAAAGAGAAAGAAGTGAAAGAAATGCAACTGAGCACCCACTTGACAAACTTATTATGAAACCCACTCATGTCCATAATTTTCTTAATACAATAAGTCCATTCCACCCTATCGTAGGCTTTCTCCGTGTCTAGTTTTACAGCCATGAACACATTAGACCCAGTCCTTAGTCTATGCAAATAATGAAATCTTCATGTGCAATGACCACATTGTCCAAAAGCAATCTACCTGGGACAAATGTTGTTTGATCTTGGCTGATACACATATCTAGACACGTCTTCAGTTTCTCATCCAACAACTTAGCAATAATTTTATAAGAGTAATGCTATATGTACATAATAAATGTACATAGAGATGTACATAACACTCACATGGAGTGGGGTCCATTTAATTTTTTATTTTTGGTGGGTCTCACTCAATGTGAGTATTATGTACACCTCTATGTACAATATTATGTACATATAGCATTACTCATTTTATAAAGCACTCCACACAGACTAATGGGTCTAAATTTACTCAAAATCTTCAGGGTACATGCATTTGGGAACAAGAGTGATAATTATGTGCTTCCAGTTTTTCAACATATGTCCAGATGAAAAGAAACTACACACGGCCCTACATACATCTTGTTTGATAATATGCTAAAATTTTTGAAAGAAAATGGCAGACATGCCATCAGCCCCAAGGGCTTTTTCAGAGCTCATACTGAACACCACAGCCTTTATTTCCTATTCCTCCACAGGTTTGAGCAGATCATTATTCAATGCATCTGAAATTGACACAGGAATATGCTGGAGTAGCACTTTTCCTCCATAAGACCCTTCTGAAGCAAATAACCCTTAATAGAAATTGGTCGCATGTCTTTCTATAGAATTCTGATCAGTATGAATCTCCCCAGAGTTAGACACCAATTTAGTAATAGCATTTCCTTTTCTTCTCTGAGTTGTGGCAGCATGGAAGAATTTGGAATTACTATCAACTCCTTTCAACAACAAAGCTCTCGATTTGATTCTCCAGTACAGCTCCTCCTGTTGATGGGCATAATCCAGATCAGATTTTAACTGATTCCAATGCTCCAGTTTCTGTCTTTGCCTTCCTGCCTAATATCTTCTAATCTGGATGTCAGAACCTCAATAACCTTCTCATTATTCCTATGCAGAGGTTTGTGCCATGCCAATAGAGCCATTCTGGTTTTCTTCACTTTCTGGTGCACTTGAAACATGGCAGAGCCCTCTACCTGAATTTCCCATCCTTCTTTCACAGCCTCTTGCACTCTCTCTAAAGAGATCCAGCTAGTACTGAAATTAAATCTTTTGTGTCTTTTGTCCATCTCTTTGTCAGTATCGAACATCAACACATTATGATCCGAGGCAGTTCTGAAGAAATTAGATGCCTCCAACTTTGAAAATTTGGATAGCCAGTCCCCAGACACAAATATCTTATCTAATCTTTCTTCCACATATCTATCCCCAGCTCTGTTGTTCCCCCAGGTATAGAAAGACCCCTGCTGGTCCACTTCTTGTATCTGCATGTTCACAATAAATTCCTGTAATCCCACAAAGTTGCT